AATTATACGCTTGATAAATTATATCGTTGCCCATGCACTAAGAATTTCAAATGGACCAAAGTAGAATCGAATATTTTAAAAATCACGTCAAAACATTTCCAAGAATTCTAAATCAATCGTACTTGACACTAATCCAGATTATTCCAGATTAATAAATCGATCGATAATATTACTTTATTCCAGTTTCTCGCTTTCAAGAGTATTAAAATATATCAAGTTTTTCTGAAAAAAAAAAAGAATAAAATATCTTTAAAAGAAAAAGATAATATTAAAAAATATATTATATTAAATATTAGATATTTAAAGAAAAAACAAACAAAATCATCTCCTTTTATTTTCCAAAATATTTATTCTCCACATCCTTTTCTCAAATTACAAAGCTGTTAAACGTCTCATAAAAGATATTTTATTCATCAAAAATCATTCGTTTTCCATGTTTCTTCAAAACAACTTCAATTTCATAAAATTGATACCAAAATACCTTTCTTTCCTAAATAAATTTTCTAATCGAATGATTCTAGGAATCGTGGCGCCCAAAAATCGTTTGTCAATCTACCAATTATCATCGCACGAATCTATCTCCACGGAGGGAAAACGACAGAGTAAGAAAATGGAGGAACGATCGGCGTATAAATCGTTCTTCTAGTTACGACAGTGAAAAAGGAAAGAGAGAGAAAGAGAAAAAAAAAGAAAAAAAAAAAAAGAAGGAACGGAACGTTAAGTAAAAACGAAAGCGCGCGGTGAAAGCAGGATCATGTAAAGTACTTACACGACTGATAATTACCGCGTCGAGTTGTAAAACGTTGATAGAGAAAAAAATTAAATATCAGAATATGGTAAAAAGTAAAGGTCGTGCAGTAATATTTTCGTGTAATTTAGACTAGTACGCGATTCTTTGTTTATTAACAGCTCGTGTACGTGCCTTATTGTATTATTACGGCCTATTGTATAATACGCCTAGACACTTAAGAAACAATTGTCTCTAAGGCGATTGCATGGTCGGTCGATCGTGTTTGTTAGGTAGCTGCTATTATCGCAATATAATTAATTTTCAACAAATGATGGAAAATAAGTATAAATGATAGAAAATGTGATAATTATTTAAGTGGGAAGTTCTTAAAAAACCAAAGATTTTCTTTGATGAGAAAATTGAGAAAATAAAATTCTGTTGCAGCAGTTTGATAAAAGAAATGTTATTAATCGAATATGTATATCATGTATAATATTCGAATGAAAAAAATAAAGAGGAATATTTGTAATTTAAATTATATACGAATACGTTAAACGTACTTCATAATAAGAATATCGATATAAAAGGTAAGCTTGAATGCGTAATATTTATTTTAAAATTAAGAGACGTAGTAAAGTTACAAACGGTTGCTTGTTTTTCTTTCAGTTGATCGATGGGAAACGTCGAAATATTTCTATTTCGCAGTTATTCATTCCAAAACATTGAAATTTAAATACGTGACCGATAAATTCAAGGATCGATCCAATTTCTATATTTTCTACTTTTTCAACTTCATTCAGTGACAGCTATTTGTCTTCATTTGTACTATGCTGCTCATTGATCTTGGCAGAATAAGGTCTCCTTAGTGTAAATTCCACCAACTCGATGATACAAAAGCCGCTTTAAATGGAACATTGATTAATCTTATTAGGCAAGTATAAACTGATCTGAGGAAATCTATGTGAAATAAACTTGTGTGAAAGGAGAAAGAGGTTTAATTCTAAATCTAAAAAAAAATATCGACTTCAACATTCTTTCTTTTAATTTACAGATACCTATGTCGAGCCATAATTTCTTTATCATCGGTATACACAATTAAGGAAAGTAATTCAATCACAATGAATCTATCGGAGGGTCATTGAAGCTCGTTTTGAGAAATTACTATCCACGATTATTTCACGTGGAACAACCGATAAAATTTAATGCGACGCTGGGTCTCTTCCACGATCCTTTGAACACGGCTGCGTAACCTGTTCTGAAATCATTAGATTCAATCTAGACACATGGTGATTCCACCGGTAAAACGGAAGATATCGATTCTCGATGGAAGCTTAAACATCCTGCTTACCATAGTTTCAACGCATTCCTCCATATCATTCCATAATTATAAGGTAAAATTAATTACGATGAAATTATTCATCGTTTATAATGAATCGTTATCTATTCCCTATGTGCATAATTCGAATAAATTTCCCAAAAAATTCGTGTTTCTTATCATATCTCCACAGAATTTGGAGAAACAACGACATAAAATATTATATCCGTAATTACAACGTGTTTCAATTTCAATCTCCAATATCCAATATCCACCTTCTAATCTCTCTATTACTAATTTTTGTATCTGGTTCAGCTTTTACCGTGAATTCGTATTCTAATTCTAACAGATATAATTTTTTTCAGTGCACAGACATCATCGATCGACCGTGTCCATTTTCCATAATTGTTCTAATTTATCGCCCCATTCGATGTTATCGGAGCGTGGCTTATGGAACGAGTCACAGTAACCAGAGGACTTTAATGATCTTAATTCTTGTTCGAGGGAAAATCAATTCACCGTACTCTTGATCTAACCCTGGTTAGAGTTTGTTTCCCAGGTTTCAAACGAATATACGACTTCCTCTTCGAGAAAAGTCGCCTCAAACTCAGCCTCTGCGCGTATGTAGAAGAACGTGAGTATTTGTATCTGTTTCATAGATGCACAAGACTGACTATGCCCCTACGGCATCAAGTTTTGCAAGAATTTGTAATCTCGTACATTGTATCTCGAGAAGCGATACGGTATATAGTTCGGGGTTTATTGCATTCGGTAAACAGACGGAATATAAATGTATCTTGATCTCTCCCACTCTCTCTTTCTTTCTCTCTCTCTTTCTATCTTTTTACAGGACGTCGAATTTGCAAATTATAAAGGTCGATAAGGCACCGGGGGGATATACAACGTGCTCTGATTGTATTCAAAATCGCATTGTGCTTCTCGAAGATTAATATTATCGATATAGTTTATGGATATCTGTTATATACACGGTTATATATACGCGTATAGATAGGAATTTCTTACGTTGGCTCCGGAAAGGTACAGCAGATACATCTTCTTACCGGGAGGGAGAAGATGTATGTTTGTGTGCTAAATAGGGGTATGTTTATCTGTTAAAGCACGGAGTGGAATGGAATTTGCTTCGACGTTTCTAACCCTTTGCGTATTAAAATACGAGCCATTGTGGAAAATGTATATATTATTACTCTTTTGTATGGATTAAATATATCATTCGTTTATCTAATCTATCTTTCATCAATTGGAACGATCATAAATCTGATACGATAATAGCTTTTATTGGGCATAAAATTTTTGGAGATTGGATACATTTATTTAAAAAAACGTGATCTCGTGGATATATTATAAGTGGATATATGAGTGTATTATACAAATTATTGTATAATACCATTTGACTATTTATCATCGATACTGAAGAAGTCTTATATAATCCAAGACTTTGTAGCTTTTTGTCTTTTTTGTAACAAAGGATGGTTAATTACACAACGATAATTTCGATCAAATTATAAGTATATTTACGCATTGTCATCATGCGTGTAACTTTTGTGCAATATAATTTTGCCATATATCAATACATTGGCAATACATTGAATAACAGCCTTGAATATTTGATCATTTTACTTTGAACGAACCGCGTGTTTATTCGCTTGCCTGTACTACTTGGATATTTCCATAGTTGCATTAGTCATCGAACCGTAGATAATTTGAATTTATAAGATCACGAGAAATTCTATTCTGAACCTCGAATAGATTTCTATCAGGCACTGCGGGAAATCAGGATTAATACAATGTTCCCTTACATGCTTTTTTACTATTCGATCTTATGTACTGTTTAGAATGATTGTATTATGCATTATGAATAATAAATGGCGTGACTTTTGAGATTATATTTTTATATTTCTCTGAAATGTCACGTAAATACTTTATTTCCTAGAATATTAATTTCTTTGCTTTATCGTGAAGAATTCATAAAATGTTATTTATTATGATATATCGAGCAATAGTCCTTTAGGAAATGAATTGTATGTCAAAAATTTTCAATGTTTGAATTCGAATCAATCAGCATTCCTTTACTATCGATCGTCGATTAGAAATTTATTTTCGTGTGTCAAAATGAATTAAGTAATGTCGAAAGAGGTATGTCGCGCCAATGAAACTTTCATTGGTGTAATTTATTGTCTAGCTCCACGATACCGAATATAAAAGTACAGTAATGTTTTTTCGAATGACCACCCACGGTGTGAACATTAAATATTCTCACTGATTAAAAAACAACTTAGAAACAGTGATTTAATCGAGTTAACATATGTCAGAGATAATTCGAAACTATGAATCATGTTCTTTTTCGTTTAAAATGTTTCTCATAAATGGTATATTATATCATAGATGTTTGTGCAATTTTAAAAATGAAAAGTAAGTAAAACAAATCTTTATTTAGATACTTTTTCTTCTCTTTTATTAAAATTTATTTACATTTCGTGATTATTATGAATTTCTTATCAACAAATAGTCAAATTTTATCTACTGTCAGAAAAATAGAAATTCATATATGAGAAAAGATTTGATTGATTGAAAAATTTGAAGATTGAATTTAGTATAATCCGTATAATATAAATATTAATACATATAATAAATTTTAATTGACATACTTGAGAATTATGATAATCAGTTTTTTTTATAGGTAAATATTGAAAGCAAAATATCGATAATCGGTGAAGAAGGAATCTTGCTACAGTAACGATTAAACTGAACTTCAGAACACATCTTGCTTCCATTTTATCCCATATTTTGCTTGAAAGTATTCACATTTTATATTAATAAAGATTAAAAACAAACTTCAAATTAACAAAACGTAATTTCAAAAACCGAATATTTGAACAGAAATTTTTACGTTAAATAACATAAATAGGGAGAATATTTAAATATTCTATTTTGTTAATGATCATAAAAAGAAAACGTAGTTTTAAAATTATAAAAAAATCTCAAACGATTGATTCGATGGGCAATTATATGAGGCCTACCGATCCTTTAAGTCTTTCTCTTCCCAAAGGTATCAATGTTGACACGTCCCCTATCAAACGATCGAAATTACCCATCATTTTCATCATTGGAGGACCGGGATCTGGAAAAAGTTATTATATTTATTTCATTATCACATAACCTTAGAACTTCGTTAAATTTTAACTTTTTTTTTTTCATATTTCACGTTGAATTTTTTGAAGATAAATAATAGAATAAATAAAGTTAACGCAAAAGAAATATACTTGAGAGATATTCTAAAGAAATATATTTAATGAAAATAATAAAAATATGAAATATGAAAATCACGTTATTTTATTATCATCTATTGTTATTATCGTGTCAATATTATATTATTTTATTTTTTTACTCTCGTTTCTAATTATCATTTTATTCGTTTTAAAATTTTATCTATCTCACTTACGATCTATTCTCATTTCGTTAAATCCCAGTTAGATTTTCTAAAAATTGTGAAACAAAAAAAAACGAAAGTCTTTTCATTCCGTAACTAATAATCGATCATTTCAGGGACAATAACCACACACGTGGCGGAGAAGTACGGTTTCGAACGTATAATATCCACGGATATTATTCGAAACGAAGTGTCCAAACGATCGGATAAGGCCTACGCTCTGGCACGTTATTTGTCGAGGGGTCAACTGGTGCCAGAGGATGTATTAGTGGAATTGATCGCGATAAAGATGCTGGAGAACATTCACAAGAAGAAAGGATTCTTTATAAGCGGATTTCCCCGGGATAAGAAACAAGGTAAAGTTTTTGATAAAGAAATACGAGCACCTGATCTCGTCTTACTTCTGCATGTTCGAAATTCCGTAATGACCGACCGAGAAATGGCAAAAAGCGTGAAAGCTACAGAGAGAGTATCCGTCACTTTCGAATATATCAGAAATCGGATCAAGGATTTCCATAGGCGGAGCAAATCTATACTTAGACATTACCGTAAAGTCTTGGTGATAATCGATGCTGAGCCTGAAATAATGGTCGTGGTCGAAAATGCGTGTGCAGTTATAGATAATTTTTTAAGAAAAAAATTTGGAGAAAATTACCCAGTCTCAATGCCATCGACTTCCAAATAAATTTCGAAATGATAGATTTTATTGTCTAATGTTTGTATGAAAGATCTTTTACATAAATGAGACATAATATGTTATTTAAGAGAGACTTTACTCAGAGTGTGTTAGATTGTAAATTTTTAATTTGATTAGATGTAATTTAAATGTTAATTGATAATAGTGGACGTACTGTAAATAGAAGAAGCATTGTTAATTAAACAAGAAGAATATTTTTGCAAGGAAATATAATTTTTTCCCACATCGTTAATATTCATCTTTAAATATATGCAGCCGTTCAAAAGTCTTAGAATTTTTCAATAGTTTTTTTATCATATTTATTTGAAAGTTGAAAGAAATTAAATACCTTATACGATAATATTGTTCTAAGACTTTTATGTTAAAAATATACATTTGATATTGTATGAAATAATCTTTGACTAAGTGCAATCTAAATATTAAGATCAATTTAATTCTGTTTAAATAAATAATTAAATAGTGGATATATATACATATATAAAGAAATCAAACGACGACTTACTCAATTTTAATTATTATCGTTGATAAAAAGCAATTTTCAAATAAAATTTTCGTATTAATTTTCTTTTATTTAAATAAATATTACACGATAAATATAATTAATAGTAAAAGACATTATTTGATAAAATAAATATTAGATACGAATTAAATCTTTTTGCATCTCAACCAAGAAATATGGAATAAAAAAGCCTCGTTCAAATTGATCTCTCCATAAACCAGAATATTTTTCATTTTTAAATTAATAAATGTATTTCACGCGATTGTAACTTCTATTTCCTCGCAATTTCACAGGTAAACGGATATAATTGGCAAACTAACTGTTCGAAATAATTGGCAAACTAACCGTCGACCGCATATTTTTTCCATTGTACGTACGAAAAATGTTTTTGATGGCCACGCATGCCCACCTACCATACGTCTGTATTTATTCATCCCCTGTACGCGTTTTCCGCTCATTTTAATCAGTAGATGGATGGTTGCTTCTATTTATGAGCATACGTATACACGCGGAACGTCTCTTTCCCTGTACGAAAACCCAACTCACCCTCGTATCAATCGCTCGTGTGTAAGTGCACATGATTCGCTTGCCGGATATATTCATAAACACGCATGCACTTTACGCGGCATCTATCTGCACATGAATGGTCCATCGTATCTCGGCGGATGACTGATAAAACAGTGTTCGCTTGTGCTTGTGCCACGGATGGACGAAGAATTTTCGAAACCCAGGAAATTGAATTTTCTAAACGGTAAGACACACGAACATATATGTAAAACAAAATTGTAGGAAATAATAATAATGAAACAGAGACGAAATAATATTTTCCTAAAAAGAAAAAAAAAAAAAACTTCATTCCGATATATACAATCTTTCTTGTGTTCTCGACTTGATTAAAGATTTAGCGCAATTAAATTTCCAGAAGAAAATATAAGACCTGGAAGCCAAGGATATACCGTACTCCATCAATTTTTCCATTTAAATCCCCCAAATCCTTAGTCATCAATTCCAATTACCGGAAGCACCCTTCACCCCGACAACAATTTCCCTCAGTGTTTCTCACCTTCGATTCACGATACTCCTCACCGCGACTCGTCCTCCCTGGGCATCTTTTTTAATCATCCCCTTTGTATCCGCCCCTGGAAACTCGACAAAGCGTCCGCTCGCACACTCGCTCACCGTTTCCACACGGTGTATACACGGCCGGTTATCGAAGGGTTGCTGTGTGTTGGGGGTGGGTGGACGGGCGGTTGGCTGCGTTTATGAGGATACGGGCTCCGAAATTGAAAAGCACCCCAGCGAGAGGTAGGCGAGGGTGTTCGTGCAGCAGTCATTGACAAGCGAAAGACCGTATCAGAGGGTAATCCTATTGGTGGACGGCCGCGTCGCGACATCCAGGCGTCATTGGTCCGCCTTCGAGCTATGGGGCGTGGCCTCGAGTTCCTCGAGGGTTCCTGTGGAGGGGTGAGAATGCCTGGTTGCATCCCTGGCAACGATTACGGGAAAACCACAGGGTCGTTCGACGGTAGGAATCCAGCATGGCGGACCTGGCAACCCCTCCGAGTGAATTCACTACCACCACAACCACCATCACCACCACCACCTTCACCACCATCACTACCACTAGCATTACCACCAGAATACCGACTTCGCCGCTATTATCGAGGCCACTGCGATGCTATTCACCACTAAACCGGCCGGGTAGTAGATTTCGCTCGATTTGTCCGGGGGAACACTTCAGGAATCGGAAGTTCGATCGGACGATTAATTGCTCCGTTAACTAGTCTTTTCAGAGCACGACTCTTTGACGACGTCGCGGGAATACAAGATGCTATTCGAGCCGTTCCACGTTAGGAGAATTCGGTTTGACATTTATCGATGGAATTTCTATCCCTTTTCATCATTTATCCATTACAAACATTACGAATATGGATTGAACAATAGAATCTGTCGTGTATTATGTCATACATTAACGTCCCATTGTTCAGAAATCGATCCATCCATCTAAAAATTAGTGACGTTCGATTAAAATAACGTTGCATCGACACATTCCACGCCGAAATCTCTCATCCACTACATCCAATTATCCCCTTCTCCGGATCGATCAATCCTCGAAAAAAGATCTGCTGCGACCTAACTCAAAAGGCATTTTTTCGTCGAATCGCTCCGCTTCCTCGTGGATTCGACTTTTCTTCAGCAACGCCGGGTATCGTTCAACTCCGCTCCGATAAAGGGGATGCTCGAAGCAGACGGGAGAAAGAAGGGTGGAAATTGAGAAAGAGACGGGTTTCACTACCACGTAGCCAACGATCAACAATTGCACGACGTTCAGTTGGAGAAGGTAGGCGTCGTCTCGTGGCGACGTAACACGGGGTGGGGGGTTGGAGCTTTGGCCAGGCGTCAACCGACGCGAAGGGGCGCGCGCAGGCGCCGCGACGAGCGTCGTCGGCGAAGCGCCGCGTCAAACGTGCCGGCTATAGGTTAAATCCTCCCGCTCCTCGTTTTTGTTGTTTTTCCGCCGTTGCCTCCTGATCCCGCCTTCAAAAGTGCCAACGGACCAATCGGTGGCCCGTGCTCGCGGGTCGAGGCACCACTTCCAGCCACCAACGACGTCGACCTCTCGTGATACGGGACGATCGAGCCGAGCTAACCGTCGATCTCTCGCCGGGAGACGCCAACCTCGAGACGTCATCCGTCGTCGTTTCTCTGACGCGGTTCCATCAGTTTCCAAGACCCCGATCCTGGACCCCGAAATCGGTTGTCGGTGGAGCTCGTTCGATCGAGGTCGTGTTCTTGTCGCCCGTCGTTTTCGTGCATCAGTGAAGTTTGAAGGGACGGAGATGATGGGTGATTTATTTAATATCAGTGCGAGAAGTTCGTAATACTTTTGAGCGAGTTCTTTTTTTTTTTTTTTTTTTTTTTTGTTTTGGATGAAAGAAGTTGGAACAATTGGAATTGTTGGTGTGCACGAGTGCGAAGAAGGGTGAAGAAGAAGAAGAAGAAGAAGAAGAAGAAGAAGAAGAAGAAGAAGAAAAATTAGATAGGTGAGAAGAATTTGATGATGTTTTTTTTTTTTATGTAATTGGATATCGAAGAGTGAATTTGATGACGTATCGGCAAGTTTTGTGTTGGAACACAACGATTATTTTATTCTAGTAATTGCGGTATAATAACGTCTACGCACTGTATAATATGTTCCAGTATATTGTCTTTTGTTTAACGAGGAATGTTGGTTGATACATCATGAACGGAGCAACGTCGGTCACGACTTCGGAGGAACACCAGCATCAGCATCAGCAACCGCAAAATGATCCATCTCAGGAACATCCGAGAAGTCCTACCAGTCCTTTGAGTATTCGACACGGTGAGTTAATATCGATTTATCCATGGAAACTTGTTCGAATTGAATTCAGAATGAATATATTAAATTCGTCAGAAACTGTACAGGCAAGAGAAACATAACTGAGCAAACATTCCTCCCGCTGTTTAGCGATCGAGATAAAAATAGATTGGTTTTCAAATGTTTCGATAATTTTTAATCTTTCTTGCTTTTCTTCGTTCTTGAAATCATCCTAATGATAATTTCATCAATTTCATCGGATAATCTATTAAAATCGATTTCACGCAAGGTCTGTCATGTCTTCTTTAATCTTTCAATCCAAAGGTTACGAATGTAACGATAAAATGTAAAACTGTTATTTCAGATGTCGAAACATCGAACATGAATTCACTTCCGCGAATGAAAGAAAACAATGGTAACATTCGTTTCAGGAGGAGCAAATATTGTTTCTCAAAATTATTTGACATTACAACAATTGTCGATACTTGTTGCCTTTAAATCATCGTTCAACGAGCACTCGATTCCTCATGCGTTTTTTTTATAAATGAACAACATTAATAGCAAGCTGTACGTATAAATCAACTCTCGACGTATTTTTATGCGAATCGTAGTTCTAGGGTGGCAAGTGGAAAAAGAGGGTGCTACGCGGCCAACGAAATTATACCATTAGTGTAATCAGATTTTGAGTGACCCGAAGAATTTAATACCGCATGATTTTTCTACGCGACAAAAGAAGAATCATAGTTTATTATTATTTTTTGAATGTTAAAAATATTTCTTTAATAGCAGGATTTTTTAATTAATTTAATGAATTTAAAAATTATTTATTATAATGAATATTTTTCTTGCTTTGGTCAGTTTCAGTCAGTTTTCACAAATATACAAGTGTTACGTGATGTATGTTGAATATAAATATAAAGAGGCATTGAAAACAGAAAAAACTGAACAAATATATTTTCAGTTATACAATATAATGACGAAGTTTTAATCTCAAGTTAACTAATCTCACTTAACTATTCACTAAAAATCTTCTCTTAATTAACACATTTTGCGCGATATCTCTGATTTATGATATTTACTTAAAATTCTGTTAAAATTCTCATAAGCATCTTATTGAATTAAATTATGCTTCAGAAAATTTACTTATTATTACAAGAATTAATAATTTAATTTTTATTTAATTTTAAATAAAACATTAACTTTAATTATAAACATTTCTTGTATGGATTAATAATAGATTAATATATCATTTAGCAGTGTTCATTATAAATTTTCCTTAAAGAAAAAACATTTTCTACATAAATTCCTTTCAAACTCAGTTCACAACGCGTTTCTTATTTTTATTATACCCAATATTACATTTACAACATCGATATAATAATAAAATATCTAAAATATTACGTCATACCTTCACTATTCACGTCGCGATCTATCACATTTCTCAAAACCAAAATTACTAAAAAAAAAAAGAAATTTTCACAATCCATTCCAACAATTATTCAAAATTTTCACTCGCCATCGATACATCGAAATCAACTCGAACAGATGTTCAAAATCGCGAATCGTTTCCATGCTAGACACCAGCCGAGACAATTCCGGTGTCTCCCTAATGCGGTAACAATTAGTCGAGATTGGAGCCGAGGGTGCGAGGGTGGAGGGTGACCAAAGTGGTCGCCGATAGTTACGAAACCCCTTTTTTTCCCCTTCCCCCCCCGAGCTTCTCTCGGCCAACGTCCCCTTCGCTGGTCGTCATTCCACGCGCACCCCACCCCTGCACCTCGATGATCCCATAATACGGGGGCGCAGGTGGCGCCTTGCCATCCGCCAACATTGATATGCTAATGAAATTTGACGCCCCTGCTTTCGTTGCACACACGCGTACTCTTTGCGATTCGCACGCTACCGGCCACCATACGGGCGCATATAATAATTTTTCTTCTCTTCTTTAACCCCTGGCGGCCGCGTTCTCGCGTGCCTCCGCCGAGATTCGATTACTTTAATGGCGTAACCTTGTCGCGTATCGAGAAAGATTTCTGGGAAAATTTGGCGACCGGATGCGTTGGGCGAAGAGGAAGAAATGTTTCGTTTTTCGTTGAGGATTATGGTGAGCCTTGGAAGTTGTTTGGGGAAGAGTGAAATCAGTCTTTGGGGAAGGATGGTATTGTGACGGAGGATTTATTGGGGAAAATTAGATTGATAAAGTGGGAGAGCAGCGGGTCTTTGGTTATTCTTGGCGGAGAGTGGTGAATGACAAATTCTAGGAAGCTTTAATCAACCCTTTTGATGTCGATACGTGAGTAAAAATTTTAAATATGTAATTCTGTAATAAAATTACGCACGATATACGTAAATTAATTTAAAAATGGACGAACCGTGTCGATCGTGTTTCGAGGACAGATTTCATACATCGTAATTCGTGTCTCTCTGTACGGGCACGTTGGGATTAGAGTGTTAACGAGATCGAAAAGCCGACACGCTTAGGAAGTTACGTGAGTCGCATTAATAAGATCGTTTCGAGTTCATCCCCCGTAACCGTAACGACGAAACGATACGATTGAATTCTTGCCGGTGAAGCCGGATCACGCGTGCCAGCCAACGATTCAAACGTGCTCCATGGCTTTGATCGTTGATTACGATTACGGATAGATAAATATCTCTTGAATTTAATGTTACAATGGGATAGCTAATTCGCTTTTTAGATTCATGTAGCTATAAATATCGAATCTTTTCTTTCCATTGATAATCCTTCCTTTAAATGGCGTAGCACTTTCTTAACTTTGTCAAAAAATAATTTTTCCACAAATTTATATGCAATTCTCTTTCCCTAATATTTAATTAAAAAATTAATTAAAAAAAAGACAAGATATATATATATCTCACTACAATAAATTAAAAAATATACCAAAAATCGATCTCAAATATATATTCCAACTACTTTTTTCCCTCCAAGAAAAAAGCAATCGTAGAAACTTAATTCTATTTCTCAAACGAATAAGAGTAAGCACCAATTACAATCTGTCACCGGGGTAGTTCGAGCCGAAAACGATTTCAAATAATACTCGGCGGACTTAAAGGGCACGATTAAATTATTTTAAAACGGGGTTAGATACGGGGGACCCTAACCTGATATCGACTTGTTGTCGATTCGCATGGTAATACGAACGGATCCTATTTGACCCCGCGGCATTAACGAGACCGGAACGAGTTTTCGATCGGTGCACGATGCATCCGACAAATACGATTTCGGGGAGATCCCGCGCCTCATCGGGGGCGCTGGCGTGACTAATAAACTCGAGTGGAGAGGCGAAATCACATTTCGTTGATCACGCAGATGTTCTACGATCTCTTTGCATTTCCATCTTCCAATTAATATCGTTAACGCGACACCGAGGTGACGATGAAATTTCCTATCTACAGGAAACACGTTTGGATCTTTGTTCCATCCGTTGCGATCGTGGATTGGAAATCTTCTTTATTCATTCAGACAAATAAAGGATAAACATGGGATTAAATGAAAGAGTATAAGAAATGAATAATTATTGAATATTTATTTGACACGATTGTTTCGTTTACATCGATTTGATAAACATTAAGCGATTTTCCTCAGAATCGTCTCACCTTTCTTCTGAACGTATAAATATTTATATCGTGGTTTTTAAGAACTCGTTTCTTCATGTAAATAGTATTTGCCTTTGCGATCCATTCGGTAAGCCTTAAGGGATACAGGAGAAAGGAACTATAAATCTCGTGGGGACGGAAACCACAGTCGGTCGGAGATTCTTACCAAAAAAGATTGCTGTTCAAAAATATCAAATTAAAGTTGAAGAAAAAATATGGTAAAAAGAATAAAGTGAACAAGATGAATCGATTTCGAAAAATTACTTACACATCACTAAAAGGATTAATCTTGTGAAGTATTGACGACAACTTTATCATCGTCCATTTAATCGGCCACAAATCTTCGTGATCCTTTCTGAAGAGCTGTAAAGTTTGCGCACAACTTACGAGCATGTACTCATTTTACGTAAGTACACATTTGTGGATCCATTCTTACGAGGATCGATCAAGGGTAGATGGTGGAGTCGGTGACATGAACGCACAAGAGAGATTTTCGGGATTAGGCGAACCTCTATCTGCCATCTGATCGAATAGAACGAGTCAAATTCGATCGTGAAAAAATTAGAAATCTGAAATTATCCCGTAAAAACGATCAACAGACAAAAGAGAAAAGAAAGAATATCGACGCAATGATCCATATAACGATTCTCCATACAATTTTGCAAATGGAATTTTCCTACAGAAAGAAACCTAACTGTAACCTAACTAAACTAACAGAACAAACTATTTGTTTCAGATTCAGGCGAGAGCAGCGTAATCTCCCCAGGATTACCAGAACGATACAGTCCTCTTGGGGCGACAGGATCGACCTCGAGTCACGATCCTTACGCCTCGAGATCTGTCCAAGAATGCCCTGTTCCTCTTTGCAGAGGAATACCGACTGATTTCCCTCTCGCGAGGTCGCCCTATTTAACCGCCCTTGGTAACGGCCATCCTCATCTGTTGGGCCAAGTTCAGCAACAACAGCAGCAGCAGCAACAACAGCAGCAACAACAACAGCAATTGCAACCGCAACATGGTAGTAAACCACCGCGAAGCCTCGGTTTGATATGCGTGGTCTGCGGTGATACCAGCTCCGGCAAACATTACGGAATTCTCGCTTGCAACGGATGTAGTGGATTCTTCAAACGAAGCGTCAGGCGGAAGTTGATATACAGGTAAGTTGAACGAAAGATTTATTTATTTTTCGCGTTTCTTTTTGATTCTTTATCTCCGTTGAATGAAATTAAGAATTTCGAAAGACACTTTTCTCTTATCCATCGAAATGATAATTATTAATAACGAAAGTAGATAGATATTGCATTGTTATACATAAGATTATAATTGTTATTTAGATTATTAGATTCGAAAGACAAAATGAAATTTATCATTATTTGTTGGTATTATAATTTATGAACATTTTAACGATAGCTTTTTTATTCTGAATTATTGTAAATTTTGGATACTTATCACTTAAAATATTTGTTTTATAAATCTAAATTTACATGCAATTTGAAATTCTATTAAATTCTATACCAACTACTAATATTAAGTTTTATATTAAAATAATCTTAACTTTATTCAATATTTTACAATACAAATTAATATTCTCTACTGAATAAAACCATAACATTGTATGTCAAATTACGTATCTCAAATTTATGTCAGAATAGAAAAACGACACATCTTAGAAACCTAATCCAACCAAACTATAATCATTTCTTCGCGAAATACCCTTACGAGGGAGGGAAATCTCGGGTCTTCAATCAGATAGAAATTAGCGAGCGGATCTTCTTACGGCGTTTAATGTCAAACTGGGCAGCCAGTGGCGCCATGTGGTCCAAGTCGAGTGGGCTCATCGTAATACCGGGCAACAATGCGGAACGGCATAATGTTGAACCCTGAAGGACCTATCCACCTAACCCTATGTATACGGCATACTATTACCATCCCCTGGGAACGGCCATCCATCTCCATCGGATCCCTCTCAGCCCGGAATCGCTGTCTGATACGCTCGATCCGTTTTACACGGGGCCACGTACTCGAGCCAACGGGCTGTCGGACCCCTGTGCGTGCATCCCTTTGACTACGTATACGTGACTATCGATAACAGGCGGCCATAGGTGTGCACGTTAAGCCTGTCGAAGAGATACACGATGCCGGGGATGCTCGATATACAAACTATTAACCCCGTCGATGCTCGAAAAATAAATGCTACGTCCGCTTTGAGCGCGTGATCGGATTGCAAATTGTCTCGAGTGACGAATATGAAGTCTTGTTGGGAGAGGGAATTCGCTGAGATTTTTGAGTTCGAAGAGTTTGCAGAGTTCGAAGAAAGATTTGAACACGAAATCGTGGAAATGTGATCATTTCGTCAGAATTATGTAATCGAGAATTTCAAAAGAAAAGATTGTGATATTGAAGTTGCAGATAATTTGACTTTTTTCTCTCGAATATATGTGTAATTTTTGAACGATTTTTGTTTCATAAAGTAAACAATTCGTTTGTTGTTAAAAGTATCGTAAGGATTTCAGCTATCTTTGTGTTACGTCGTCACAGTGCGAAAATGGATCGAAGATCGATCATTCGCGACACGTGTCTTCCCGATTGAACGTCTCGTGTCCCGTTACACCGGCTTTTTATTCTTCACTATCAATTCCTGTCGAATGGCCGTAACGTGGTAAAGAGTGAAGAGGCTTCGCACAGATAACCAATTATTCGTAGAGGGGGACGCAGACCGCGACAGATGCGTCTCGACGTGATGCACCGCGCAACGACCATAATCGTCAGATTAAAATCCAACTTCACGGATCGGTTAAATGCAATTAAGAAGATCGTGCATGATCCAGATTGCATGGAAAATTCGCGCCAACTCCCATTGGGCCACACTTGAATTTTGCGTGCAATGGGTCAACTGTTCCTCTCCTGTTCTCGATAAGTAAATGTTTTTTTTTAATCGAAGGATTTAGTAGCAGACTTCCATTCACAGCACGCGTTCAATGGACATATAAAACTTGGCAATGTGGAGCGACAAAACGAGAATAAATAAAAATTCAGAAAGATTGATAATTCTAGTAAAATTCAATTTTTAAGAGATTGAATTTTAAATTATCAATCACCAACGCATCAATCTCCAAAATCTCTTTCTCTTTCTTTCTCTCTCTCTCAATCTTCAAAAACAAAAACCATCAAACCATCAAACCTATCCATTCTTCATCCAATTCCTTCATCTTCCAATTCCAACCACCCATTAGTCCCAGTCTCACCAGTCTCCATCCTTCACTGGATCCTTCCACCTCTCGCAGAGAGTTAATTCATCGAATCATCCGTAGCCGCGATCTTCGTACGCGATAACAGGCAGCACATGTTTCCGGTAACTCGATGAGCCAAACAATGCCGGCCAGCGAAAGAATAGAGAGATGCGTAAATAAATGTATGATGTGGTTCTGAAGGGTGAATGCCGTGGAGGGTGATGTATCCCCCCGTGTTGCATGGGCGGTGTGGAGGCTCGGTAGGGTGTGAACGCAAATCAATTTGCGAGAGGAACCCTGCTGGCAGGGCAGCACGCAGCCACCCTTCGGTGCCCTTCGTGTACCACCGCCTCGGGACAAGATAGTTCCAGGACTGTGGCGTCCTTTCGTCGCGCCGTTGGATCGAGCCGCCTCCTTGTGAGTGACGTTAGTTAAAATCGCGCTAACAGACCGGGAATCGATCGAGAGATGGCCTAGAGCCATTACACTAACGTGTAATCTTTTTCTAATCTGATGACAGCCCATGGGAACTGTACGAAGATTTGACTTTCGTTTGTTCCTTTGAAATTAATAAAAACAGTTTCTTCTTCTTAAAAGGAATGATGCAGAAATGTTAGATTGCAAAGATAAGTGTGAGATTAAAAATGATTAAATTATAAATTCAGAAAGAAATATAGATTTTTCAATGTATCGTATATGTGAAATCGTTATAGTATTATTCTTCCAGAAATTAAGAAAATTTTGAACCATTGTAACTTCAAAGATAATGATTTTCAAGCAATGAGTGAAAGATCATTTCAACTTCAGTCAAATGCCAGACATAATTCTTAGAAAAAAGGAGATTTCTGGAAGAACGAAGTAATCGTTTCCAGAGAAAAAATATGGATCTATTCATAAACTTTGCGCTATGTTAAGCGCTATAGAAACTTTGAATCGTTATATTTCGACAACTGATTGAGATATCGAGATGAATCAAAAAATGATTTCAATGGTATAGTCTCCTCTATGTTCTGAATGGATTTTGATGGATTTCGCATGAAAATTTCAAGTTTCATTTGTGACTTTACGATGATCTATCTATCTTATGTAAAATATCTAAATTTATTTAATATCCGCGTTGAATTCACGTTATGTAAAAAAAAGAAAGAAAAAGAAAACAGAAAGTAGTTGATTGAGGAAGCAAACTTTAAAAAAAGAAAAGTACCACGAGGTTACCACGGGATTGGATGAAATTAAGAGGGATAAGAAGAAGGTTACGTGACTCCGAGCGAGGAGTCTTCACGTTAGTCAGCTCGAAAGGATAACAGGGTTAGCCGAACAATGAAAGTAATCGAATTTAACGCCATCTCCTGAGTGCGCAGCCAGGATTTCCGGCAAGTGCGCTCCAAATTTGTCCTCTTTTCGGAAGGGACAACAGCCATCAAGTTACGACTCGTCGTCGATGAAACATCGTCGTCAAGGATCGATCGATTTCGACAACTGAAAGAGCTTTCGACTTTTCTCTATGATGACCAATTTTTCCATATTATAGAATCTAACGATTAAAGTTATTTCGAAAATAAATAATTTATAAAATAAAGCATTGATTTATTTATTTAGAATCTTCTAAACATATGTCGAAAAATTTTATGCTCTAGATGTCAAGCCGGTACCGGAAGATGTGTCGTGGACAAAGCTCATCGAAACCAATGTCAAGCGTGCCGTTTGAAAAAATGTATGCAGATGGGGATGAATAAAGACGGTGAGTAGTTGAATTACAAATTTTTAACAAGTACAGGTTTTTCTTTTACCGTAAAAATTAGCCTTTGTATTTTATTTCCTTTATTTTAATTTTTATTCGTCATTGTGTATTAATTTAGAAACGGCAAAACTTCAGAATTGATTTTTAGATTAACAAAAAAAAAGGAATAATTCTGCAAACAACAATTAAGCTTTTTAACTTAAATCCCACTTGAGAGAAATTCGTTCTAAATGCAAAAAATCTTTTCTTTTTCTTCTTTTTTGTTACGTTTTAAAGAACATGTCTCTTCCACTCCATGGATGCCGTATGGTGAGCATAAAACAACTACTTTCCTCTTAATCGATCTTCACAAATTAATTAAATTATACAATTTCAGAATTTTGCAAAACAGCTTACCATGATCGATCGCATCGAATTTTCCTCGGCTCAAATACCTTCTCGAAGAGAAGAAAGAATATCGTTCTTTAAAAATCGTAAAACAGAGAATGACTTTCCCAAACCGCCAGTTATCGATGCATTAGATTACCCGTTTCCACAGGTAAACCGATATTGTGGGAATCAATCAACCCCCGCGTTTCCCCTTCGAAACGCGGAATTCCTTTATGCTCGCGACATAAATAACTGGATAAGGAAGAAGCGATTGACGAGGGGTTGGTCTGGTTTGGCGACACCGTTCGATTCAACTCTTAATGCCTTTCACCCGACGAACAGACGCACCTGCCACGGCAAAAGAGCATTTCTCCCCCTTTTTCCATCGTTCTTCCCGTTGTCTTCTTCTTTCTTTCTCTCTTTTTTTTCTTCTCCCTCTTTCTTCTCCCCGCGGAAACACGTCCCGGGGCGCGCAACCAACTTTCTTATTGCTGAACTTGAACGTCGTAAGAAGAAATACTTCCAATTGGATCCCGGTTCCCTTGGCGACCGGAACGGCGACGTTTCTATGGAACGTCGATCGTTTCCACGGGAAATTAGATTGGCCAGCGTCGAGAGTTACGCGACGGGGACAAAGATATTGCGGAAACTTTGGCGATTACGATCGTGCGCTGATATTTTTCCCGAGGCAATTGATTTGTAGGTTTCGAAGGTTTGATTAATATCGTTTCGAGGATATTTTTTTAAAGTGCTTGCTTCCTCGTTGTTAAACGATGTTTCTGTTCGAGTGTAACTGGGCGTAGATAGGATTTTACCCTGGGAATTGTTGCGAATAGAATTAGTTTCAAACTTTGGTGATGATTATATTAATCGTTTAACGATGGAAGGAATCAATAAGGTGTCGTTATTTTCTTTCTCTTCTCTAAAAGTGTAGATAGTTCCATTTAAACTTTTACTTGAACGAAGTTTTTGCAAGAGTATAATTGCATTATTCTTCGTATTCCTTGAGTCACTCTTCGTTCCTTTCAAAAACAGAATACAATATGAAGATATCTTCGATCATCAAAGTTTCCAAAATTCTTACGATCACGAATTATTACTCCAGTGATCTAATAGTCACAGAATCTATCCTGAAATCATCAGAATTCTCATTACTACAATACAATCGTCGTCTTCCAATCACAAAACCCATCCATCAGAATTCTCGCTCGACGAAAATCGCGTATGCAGAACGATCCTCCACAAAACAACCTACGCGTCAGGATCCTCGTTACGTACGATAATCGTCCGATGAAAATCGCGTGTGCAGAGCGGTCAAACACGCCGCACGCGCGTGCAGAGCGGTGCGGTTCGCCACGAAAGGCGTCGTAAACACCGCGGTCGTTAGCGACGGTCGCGTGGCCGTCGCCTAGCCCCGAAGGGTTAATTGGGAGAAATAAACGTATGCAACGTGCAGGCGGATCAGCGTGCTCAAAAATCCGCGCCGCTCCGTTGTCTGCCGCGCTCCCTTTCTCGCTCCCGTGAATATACACGCGTGTTATCCCGGCGAGGAATCCCGGGCGGAGGCCGGGAGGTTAAAAGAAGAGGCGAGGCGCAAATTGTGTCATAACGGCGGCCGAGAAAGAAAGGGAGAGAGGATATACGGAAGAAGCAAAGTGAAAAAGGGAGGCAGACCTCCCACGGTGAGCTTCACGCAAATGAGAGTGAAACGATCTGTAAAAGGGCGTTTATCTCTCCTCGTGTGAAACGATTGCACGTCGGAGACGTCGATGCGATGGAAAGGGTTCGGTCTCGAGGTCTCTATTTATCGAACGAGAAGAATTAACGATTGTAATTTAAGGAAGAATTAATGATCGTTTGATTTTTGATTGTTCGAACGAGATAGATGATAGACGACGTTATCGAGTGGATCGATCTGATAAAGATATTTAATTATTCTTTAAAATTACGTCTAATATCGTTATGGCAGCTTTGAACGAGAGAGGAAGATTTATATATTCGCAAGTTGGGAATTAAAACGACTTACAATTATTAGCGTTTGATTAAACTTTTTCAATTTCGATTTGGATCACTGTATTGTTATTTCGTGCAAATAATATTTTCGCTTCCTTCCCCCAAGTTGAAACTCTGGAGCTCAACGCTCCCCTAGATGCTCCTTAAACGTCCGTCGCGCCAGGATCCCTGGTTGTGCATCGAAAAAAGAAAATCAAGGCAACTTTACGTGAAAAAAGGAAGACGATGAGAAGGAAAAAGAGGCGCAAAAGGGAGTGAGGTGTGTGAAAATAAGCGGACTGAAGAGTTAAAAAGACAAAAGGGAAAGCGCGGCGTGTTACACGCGCGGACAAGAAAAATTTCCCGGGGACGCGACCGGCGGAAGGGCGTTTATCTTTTCCGCCGGCAGGGTAAACGGGAGAAAAAGTGAGAGAGCGAGAGGGCAGTAGCAAGGGAAGAAAGCTTGGGAAAAAAAAAAAAGGGAAGAGAGACAGAGAGCCGGATGCAAAAAGGCTTGACGAAGTAGGAGGATCCTATTAAGCCGCTCAGCAGGCAGCACGACGCGTAGGTAAAACGAGCCGCGGCACGCTTTTTATCATTACGAAATTACTGTGCACCCGTGCCACGTTAAAAGGGGAAGGGTTGAAGAAAAAAAGGAAAGATATTCAGCTCGCCGTTATACGCCACTAAGGGTCCTAATCGCTATTAACATGTGCTCGGTGTCACAAATCTTCTCTCTTGGAGAGCGGAAGTAAATGAAACTGCATTGTCTTTGCGAGAATCGAAGATAACTATTATACTTTGTGCTTTTAAGGAAGATTTATACGTTGTGTGCAGAAAATCACGAGTTTTTTTCTTTTAAGAAACGAAGATGACGAAGATATTTTTGTGAAATCTTTTAAGAAAATTTAAAAATGAAAATAGAGATGTAAAATTTACTATAGCTTTGATATACATTGCGTTAGAAAGTCATGAGACTTTTTTCTTGAGAAAATGGATGAAATAGCAGTGTATATATGCAAGATTTTAAGATGGTGATGATTGTACTTTGTGCTTTTAAAAAAGATTTTTAGGAATGAAAGTAGAGATAAAATATATATAAGTATGTAATTTTTTAAATCAAAAGATACAAAAATAAAAGAACGAAAGACGTTTTTCATTTAACGTTATCTATATTAAAAATATAATATCGGTATTACCTTGTTGTTATTTTGTCTGACGAATTTCAAAAAGACGAATTTTTTGTTTTTCACAATTGTATAAATATTTTATGATTCTTATCAGACAATACTAACAAAAAGAAGAAAGAAATTTTAAGATAGAATCATTTACACATCAGAATTTCAAGATTAAATTTTTTAATATGATAATTTTCACATTTCTATTCATCTTGTAAGTATTTTCTAGCCTAAAAAAGAATTAAAATTCATCTCTATATCGAAACACCCTAAAAATTCCAAGCAACCTCATCTTCATTTCGTCCCCCAATATAATCATCTCCAAAGCTCAGAACGCCAAGTTAAACATTAAACGAAAGCCCTCTCTTCTTCCCTTTACAATTCCTCCCATTAATTCCATCCCCAAAGAAAATTCACGTCAGCGAAAAGACGAAAAGGGAATATTATATTCCATTTTCTCCATGGTGCATGAAGTTATTCCAAAGATGGATGTCAGCCAAAAAGTTATCGAACGGCAATATATATATATACGAACAATAAACGTGGCTGATTTCTACACGTCTGTTAAATTCACGCTTGTCAGTCGCAGGCCGCTGTCGTGATATAACGCGTTACGTGAATTTGACGAGAGGGTGGTGGCCAATCGTTTGTTCCCCGATTAATCTCAACAAGACTCGTCGAACTCTACAGCTCCGCTAATATTTCAATAACCAAGAAGATCCAAAGGAAGGAGGATATTCCGTGTAACGAATTATCGAGATACATGGTCAATTATATAACGTTTGATTGATCCTTCTATTTTTTCCAATATGAAATTCTATAAATTGCCTCATTTTTAGATCGAGTGTATAGTTACTCCGTCGATTTTATCACTAATACATTGTTATATTAAGGATTTGAGTTATGTAAAATGCTGGAAATATCTTAAGAATGAAAGAATGTTTGAACTTGTTTGATAATGAATAACGAAGATGATGTATCAAGTTTCGAAAGAGCGTTGGAATAATAATTTTATAATTACTATTCTAACGTTTTTTTTTTAATGCGAAACGAGGAATAATGAATTTTCCCTCCCTTTTAGAAAGAAAAAGAAAAATAATATTGATTCCTTGTCAAAATTAATAATCTCGAACGATCGTTTTCTTTCAGATTGATCGAAACAATTAATCGGCGTGTAGTTTATCGCGTTGTTGTGCGCAAATTCCAAAAGACATTACATTCGATAGCATTGACTAAAACGCGCACGAGGCAATACACGGGGGCGTGTAATTAATTCGTAGCTGCAATTAACGCCTGCTATCGACGTTACATCGAAGGTATGCGCTTCTGTTTCAGCGGTACAGAATGAACGGCAACCCAGAAACACTGCCACCATTAGACCAGAGGCTCTCGTCGAGATGGACCAGGAACGAGCGCTTCGAGAGGCAGCGGTCGCCGTCGGTGTCTTTGGGTGAGTCATTACTTTTATTTTTCGTCTTTGAAATTGTTAATGCCAGCTTTACATTCGTCAAAATGTTTCTGAATTGTTATTTCGATTATTATTATTCGAAGAGATATATTAAAAATTCATCCAAAAATAAGGCAAAGATGTTAGGAAATAATTATTAATTTTTAAAAACATTTTTAAAACCTTAGATATATCGATATAACGATCAAAAAGTAAGTAGTAATAAGTAGTTACGCTCAATGATCAATCGTCCAACAGCCTGTAATTTTTAAATTCACGGCAAAAATATTGAAAATTCTTCTTGCGAAAACACAAAAATAATCGCGTCTATTAAGAAGATCCTTGCTCCACTTCTTCGAACAACGCTCAAGATTCATTTCACGCGTTGGATCCCACTTAAGCGCGTATTTAGGTGACGCAAAGACGCGATGAATCGTGGAGCGGATCCAGGTGGTCAGTTGAGGGGAGGATTAAAGGTAACGTTGAGAGGGTTTTCGCGATCGATAATCGTCGATTCATCGGGAGCAACAACGATAAGAGCAAGAGAGTGGACGACGTTGTTGGCACGTTTGATCTTCTGCTGGAGAGCAGCATACTTTTCGCCGTCGTGAGCAAGCGCGCTCGCAACACGCCACGCCGAGCGTGATCTATCATGAAAAATTACCTTTGACTAGTAGCCCGTGGCTGACCGTTTTTCAGGTAACCGAGTACTCAGGTTGGAACTAATGGAAAATCCATAGAGCGCCAAGGGGTGAACGTTAAAAGCGACAGCGAGCGTGCTCGGCGTCGATACCCGGAGCTTTCTGGAAATTACGCCTTCTTTTCTCCGCGTGCAAGCTTTCACACGAATGCCCGAGTTTACCGTTATCGCTTTTTATCCTTGATTTAATCTTGGCTATGTTTTTTTTTTTTATCAATGATTCCATTTCTTTCGTGTGTATTTAATCCTTTATTTCTTGATGGTTATTTTGTGATTACATTAAATCGTTGACAAATTAAATATGTTTGAGATGAAGTTTATGATTTATAATTATTAGGCCGTTCGAATCTTTTGAGGTATTATAAAATAATAATCGACTCGACTACATTTAGTTGAACGAATGAAAAGTTTTATTATGTGCACAATTTAAAAAAAAAAAAAAAAAAAAAAAAAGATATTTTCGTCATCTGAGAGAAAAAGAATTTGGATTAAATTAACTCGATAAATTATTTTAGCTACGTATTTGTAATGAATACGTAAAGTATCAGTGTACAGTACAGTAGTTTCTAACAAAATGTCTCGTGCAGTTTAACGAGACGTTTCATCCTTTCTTATTCATAATTATTTCTGGATCGACTATTGAAATTGCATAAGCCCGATCGGGCTTTATTCGTATATTAACCTTCTATCATTGTATTGGAAGCGTGGCTCAAGTATCGGGGAAAATTTCATGGAAAGGAGAACGAGAACAAGAGGAATAACATCGATGCTATAGCTATTCGGACGAAATAAACTTCCATACAAACTAATTATACTATACACGTGTTTCACGAACGAAGTGATGCTCATTGAGAAGGATGAAAGCTGTTTATTCCATTTACAATTACGAAACTAAGAAAAACCGTGGCGTTTACAAATCGATCCCAACGCGACTTCTCGCGTTATATATTAACGATACATTTCCAATTGCATAGAAAGCATCGTCGAACTTGCTTCAATTCGACGCTTATTAATCCACGCAATTCGAAGAGCGAACCACGACGCTTCAATTTTCTCGAAATTTTCTTCTTCTAAAACGTTTCTTCCGATATTTTCTCTTTTTTTTTTTTTTATTTATCTACTGTATTTCTTAATTTCGTTTCCCAGCAACCAATCGCAGCTTCAGCTTATAAGATATTTCAATGAATCAGGGTCGACGTACGACGCACTGAACACTTGTACCTTTTCTTCGTTCCGTATATTTATCTACCTATATTATTTCTATAAAAAGCTACGCGCTTGTACAAACCTTACAAACCTCGTCCCTGAATCTTCAGATACCCCCAATTTACTAATCGATATGAGTGCAAAAGTCAAGCACAGCGTTCCCTTGAATTATTTGAGCGAACAGCGCCCTGGCCCTAGCTCTGGGAGATAACGAGTCCTTCTCGTGAAGCAAAACCCTTTGCAAAGTGGGCGAACCGATATCCGGACTGTCCCCTATATTCCTCTCCAGATGCAACGTGGAAATCGGTGGCAAAGCGGATCTCATGTCGCTCTCCGACTTGGCAAACTTCTTGATAGGCTCCGTGTACCGGATCGAGTCGTCGTCGTCGATGATGAATCCTCGCCTCAGGTTCTCCGATTTCGTCTCCCTGATCACAGAGGCGACCCGTCTCTTTATGTCCGCCCTCACAATGGCAGCCTCGGTACTCTCCCTTCTATTAGCATTCGGATTTTTCGTCATGTTGTCCAACATGTTCAGCAATCTATCAAAGGAACTGCAAATCTCCTCCAAAGACTGCTGACTGAGCAATAGATATCCGCTCGTTTCCCGCTCCTTCTCTTCCAGAGCGTTCTCCAGCTCTGTCAGGTTGCTTTTCATCGCGTTCAACTGCTCCTCGGCGGCCTCGCGTCTTCCTCGCTCGTCCGCTAACATTATACCGCTACGTCTAGCCTCTTCGATCAGCCGATCGTGTTCAGCCTTCGCCTCGTTCAATTGGTACTGGATCTTCTGAATCTTAGTGGAATTCTCCATTTGTTCGTCTTCCACTTGCACGCCAACGTCGATTTTTATGATCTCCAGATTCTTCGACGAGGACCTGTCCGTGTCGGCCTGAATACTGTCCACGTAGGATGGAACGTTATTTTGACCCTCCCCCATCACAGGCTGTATGTGAGACTGTAGATCCAGATGAAGCGAGATTTTCGACTTGGGCTGACCGTTTTGAACCATGTGCTGTTGCTCCTGTTGTTGTCTAGTAGTCTTGTACGGAGGAACGTGAGGTCTCATCTTCGTTTTCCTCGCGTTACTTTGATTAAACATTCTCCTAGCTGCAGTCTGATACGGCCCCTTGTTGTACTCGGTGCTGCGCGGCCTGATCGGAGGTTTCCTGTGATCCTCGTTCTCGTTCCTGTTCCCACTTCCTGCCGACACCACTCTTCGATCGTGCTGTGGCAAACCCAACCACCTATACTCGGTCTTCGAGTCGCCGTTGTTCTCCTCCAGCCTCTTGATCACCTCGTTCACCAACGCCTCGTTCAGATTCACGTTCTGCCTCACGTCCAGTATACTCAGAGTGGTGTTGTGGTCCAGCAGCTCGAGAAGATCCTTGCCGATCTTGTCGGTCAATCCACACCGTTGCAGATCCAACGCCTTCAACCAAAGACTATCCCTCACCGCTTCGATCAGCTCCATTATGGCCGCGTCGCCGAGTTGAGGATTATCGTTCAACGTCAAACGACGTAATCCGGGCATAGCCTCGAGATTCGGTTCTTGATATCTGAGCGACTGTTTCCAAGTGTCGTGATAGAGCAACAGCTTCTGTCTGCACAAGGCGGCCGCTAGAGCCGGGCCGCACTTGCACGTCAAGTCGCAGTAACTGAGATTCAACGATCTGACACTCGGAACATCGGCCACCGTACGACACAATACCTCGCAAGAACTATCACCGATGTAACAACGCTGAAGAGACAAATAATGAAGGGTGTGCGTGTGGGACAGACCCACGCACAGAACAGCCAAACAATCTGGCGGAAATGGAATTCCTTCCAGCTCCAAATTGGTGAGAACCGGGGAATTTCTGACGCATTGAGCTACGCTATGGGACAGCCACTCCAGAAGATATCGAGACAAGACGACAGGTGCCTTGCCCATCGTTCTGGCCTTGTCTTCCGAATTGATCTCCTCCAAAGGTTTGCGACATTGATACCTGCTGCGAACGCTGATCGATCGTAGGCTACGATCGAGAGACAGAGAATTTAATATGGGGCCCCAATCGTCCATTTTTACGCGGTCGGTGGTGAAGTCTAGACTATGGGGAAGTGTCACGCAGATGACCGGCAGAGGTCGCAGATGTTGCTGTTTGCACAGTTCCATGTAACAATTGGCGAAATTTCTGCTGTTCGGAATCGCCATCTTGGATGATGACACGGAAGTCGATGCATTGATCTTGCCCTCGGGGGCGGTCTTCGTGGTAGGTGACAGGATGGCGGCGGTCTTTTCGTTCAGAGATTTTGTTTTCTGCGTGGAAAATTATGATTTGCGATCAGATTTCGATCTTTGGATAAATAAGAATTAAAAAATTATTTGCAATTGAATTTCTTCCATTCGATGATTTTCATTTATTAATGATAATGCAAAGTTAGATAATGCATAGTGATATTTTTAATTTTATTGACAATGGAATTGATGAAATTATTTTTTTTAATCGATTATTGAAATATTCTCGTATAGGAAGAGAAATTATTATAACTTTTTCGTTGTTTCTAATTAAAAGGATATGGTATCGAGATTAGATCGATTTAAACGATTAATTTGATGAAATATTAGGAACGTTTGAATGAATTCGCGTGAAGAACACCTTTTACGATAATATTTATAGAAAGAAAAGGATGGATATAAGTGCACTGACCTTTGTTCTTGCTGCTTTGTTGAATTACATTAACCGCAATTTTATCACACACCGTCATCTGCAATCTCTCAATTTTTCCGACCGTCTGGACGTGAAATCGGTTCCGAATTTTTCAACAACGAATTCGTTCGCACAAGATGCAAATCGCGTTCGCTTTTCTTGTACAGGGCGATCTATATTCGCCCACCTACCTACCCGAATTCGGCGAAACGAAATTTCTTCGCGGCATACGCTGAAAGTATGCAAACAAAACTCGCGAGCGAACAAATTAAAGTTGCTGCGAATCGTTCGTATAATCAATTTTGCTTCACATATCGATTTTAGTATCGCTCTATACGAATTCGAGATTAACGATACATTTTCATTACATTACGTTTTAAAATTGATTAAAACAAAGTATATATATATATATATATATATAAATTCGTGAAAGATAAATCTGGAGAAAAGAATGAAAATTATTTTGACAGAAAATATTTATTGAATATTATTAGCATAGAGAAAATAATTCGATGAAAATTCGAAATACAATTCTTTAAAATATAATGTTTTAGACCACCTGTGTCTTTGGCCATGGCGAGATACACGACACCACTGCCTTTACCCACCGTTGCCCCGACGACAAATTCGACGAACCCTCCGACACCACCTCGACAGGATAACGAAGATGGTATTCATTTATTTTATCAATAATCTTTATTAATTTTTATGAAACAAGTTTTTCAACATTTATATAGAATTCCATACATTTAGAATTGTTCATTAGTATCTGCTTTTCATTAACGTTTATTTCGTCGAAATTAAATTCTTTTCGATAATGATTTTGAATATTTTCGCAACAGGAAATGCATCCGAGGATAGTATAGACGTAACGAACGAAGAACCATTGACACCCCAAAGGAGCGGTTGCACGCAAATTCCGCCTGTGATCCCCTCCTTGTATTCGCCTGCAAGTGCTGAAACGGTCTACGAAACCAGTGCTAGATTGCTCTTCATGGCTGTAAAGTGGGCCAAGAATCTTCCGTCTTTCGCGAGTTTGCCTTTCAGGGATCAGGTATAAAGCAAACTCTTTTTCTCCTCTTTCAAATATTATTTCTCAGAAAATGATAGATCTTAAAATTTACGAGAAAAGATTATCCTTTCTTTTTTTCCATCCCTCAAATTATCCATTTCTAGAAAATAAAAATTTAAGAAATTTGTTGATTCATTTTATCCATGATAGGTGATACTACTAGAAGAGGCCTGGTCAGAGCTTTTCCTTCTGAACGCAGTGCAGTGGTGCCTTCCACTTGAATCATCGCCCCTATTCAACTCCGCGGAATTGACTGCTTTGACATTATCGCCGCATCCTCACCCCCATTCCGGAATCCATATGCAAACCACGACGGGTAAACCGAGTCAGGTGGCAGCGGATGTGAGGCATTTGCACGATACCTTGCAGAGATATAAGGCTGTCATGGTTGATCCTGCTGAATTCGCCTGTATGAAAGCCATAGTACTATTTCGACCAGGTTCGTGCTTTGATTAATTGCAATAATATAGCTGTTTTCTCTTAATATTATCGGAGAGTTTTATCAGTGTTATGTTATTTTATGAAATTATAAATAAATGTATCTTGGAAAATTGCAATTGCAGAGACCCGTGGTTTAAAGGATTCGAGTCAGATAGAAAATCTGCAGGACCAAGCCCAAGTGATGTTGGGCCAACACGCCAGAGCGCAGCAACCAGGTAGCCCGGCAAGATTCGGCAGGTTACTGCTGTTGCTTCCATTGCTGAGGACAGTGCCTGCCTCCAGGGTGGAATTGATATATTTTCACAGAACAATCGGCAACACTCCAATGGAGAAAGTCTTGTGCGATATGTATAAAAATTAAAAAAAAAAAAAAAAAAAAGAAGATTCTCATCAAAGATAAGTTTTCTATCGACTTATAATATAAGATCGATCCTGTAACATATTTCACATTTTTCGCATTCGAACGAATGCCTTTGAATATAAAAATTCGATAATCTGCAAAGTGAATCTACCGCAGATGCCTGATCGAAATTCCTTTGTAATATCGTCTCTTTAAGTGTGATATAAAAAAAAAAAAGCACGAAAGACTTTTCCTCGCGAAAGTATATATATATACTGACGTATTTAGGTGCAGCGTAGGCGTTGGAAGTACAGTTTTAACGGCAGATTATTAAAAAAAAAAAAAAGAAAGACTAGAAAGTATAAATAAAAGCAATCGAGCAACCGACCAAATAGTCGAGAATGATCGATCGAAGGTGATAGTTTACAAGAAAGCCTTGGCCTAAGGATGAAGCCCCAAATATGAATTGAATTTGCGACCTAGTGATTTTTTTTTCTTACTAGATCCAAGGTCGAGTAACGATAGATCCTTCGAGAAAGGTGAACGAATCGACGAATAACAGTATTTAATTTAATGGTTCAACGGTATCTAAGTGAAACGAAGGATACTCAGTTCCGACATGAAGATATAAATATATATATATATACATATTTATTTATCATAGAGATGTTTATCGAACATTAGATTCGACATGTTGACCAAATCATTTTTTAATTCTTCGATTTTAAGTAATCAATTTTATACGAATCATCGGGTTAAAAAAGAAACACTGAAATGAAAAATTTTCGTTTAATTTATTCGATATTTTTTTTTACATATATATATATATCTCGGTTTCTTTTCTTCTCTTATTATACTTTCTGAAATATGTAAGATAAAAATTTTGAATATACGAGTAAACTGATACGAACTTTCGGACAATTGTAAAAAGATACACTTGTCTGTGCTTTTCTTGTATATTTCGTGTTGTGATACTATTTGCTGTAAAAATCTAGATACTGAGTCACGTGACATATATTGTAACGATTACGTAACCACTTGTAATAAAAGTACACATGCGTAAGAATCATCGAAACGTCGAATTAATGACCCTCCTATTGACAAAATATTCTAGAAATTTCTTTAACGAAATAAAAAAAAAAATTTATTTGCTACTCTACGACATCTCGTATTTTCAATAAATCTATAAAAAAATTTCAACACTTCGACTACTACTGTGTTCTATCAAGATAGAATGAAAAATCTTTGTAATTTTCCTTTATAAAATAAATCAAAAACATTATCGTTACAATAATATTTATTTAATTTGTCTACTTCAAAAAAATATTCGATAAAGCTAGACACTGCCAACAAAATACTCCTAATTCCACTAATCTCAACAGACACGCGGTCTGTTGCCCCACGACGAAAATCAAAGATCCCACCATCCCGAACTACTTTAATTTCTGTTTATTTAACAGAGGGTCGGAATCGAAATTTGACGCTAACCCCCGAGTCACGGTGGTTGTTGCATAAACGTACATATTTATTTATCACCGTATAATCCCTGACTTTCCCTCGAGGGTTTTGCCACATGGCAGTTTGACGATCCCCAACGGAATTACCCCCACAGCCGCTTATAAATTACATCGTGGCTCGAGCAAGGTTTAAGGGCCTGCTTAAGTTGTCAAAGCAATCGGAGAGTTAAACGCCCTGGCACGGAGAGAGGAGGGGTGAGACTTACCCTTAATACTTTTTCGATCGTTTCCTCGAATCGTTTCCTCATCTGGGGAATCACTGTTCGATATTTATTCGATTATAGCCGCCTTTGTACGATTCTCAAATATGCGTGAACATTCGCGTTTTTCTAATTACGTGGAGCGCGGATTTGGAATTATTGGTAAGAAAATTAACCGACCGATTAAAATAAGTCCTTGATTCTTTCAGGATTGAATTTGATTTCTCCCAATTACGATCGAAAATTAAATAATTATAATTTCACGTCACTCGTAAATTTGATAAGCCAAGCGGAAAAAATCACTGTTAAATTTGGACTAAAAATATATGATGTTGTGAAGTGAAATTTTATCGTGAGAACGGCGGAGAAAGAACGATACTAAATGGTACTCACAGATACTCTGAAATTGTTTCAGAATTCAATTCCTTTCGGTCCATATCCGAGGATCGATTCCTAAAACACGCGTTTGCTTCGTGACGCCGCCAACTTTCAAGTTCGTATCCTCACGGCACGTAACGAATTTGGATATCTCGGTTCGAGAGCGCAGAGAGAAAGGGGTTGGAAAACCGGCAGGGTTATGCCTGTGAGAGCATTCGGAGGAGAAAGGATGGCTGGTCATGGTATTGACTCGCTTTTGCGGATACAGGGGCGGAGTTTTCGACCTCTCTCCCTTCCTTCTTCCACCTTCACCCTCTATATATATATATACGTGTATCACTCTTCATCCCGCTTTCTTTTTCCTTCTTCGACTTCCCTCCCTATAAATATACTCTCCGCCTCATACCCTCGATCTCCTTTCTCCTTTCCTCTCCACGATATCCTCTGTTCAACGAACCAACCTTCCTCTTTCTCCCTCTTTTCCTTTTCCATCTATTCCCAAGCCATCTCCTCCTCACCTGTTTTTATCCCACTTCTTCTTTATCTACGTATAATATATCCATCTCATTCTCAATTTCTCTTATAGTGTATGAAACAGAGGCTTCGCCGTCTCTCTCTCCCTCTCTCATCCCCACCGAGCGGAACGTCGGGGTCGAAAGGGGATGACTCGTCGCACAGGGCTGTCAAACCCCCTCCCACGCAACGACAAAACTCCCGTTGAAGGGTGACCCAGCAATGGCGGCGGGACTTGTTGTATTTCGCTTTCGAGGTGAGCTCCATTCCCTTCTACCTTCTCGATCCCCAGTGCCAACCCCTCCAGGGTCCAGGAGAGGAGGAGGGAGGAAATGAAACTGAGCGAGCCGAAGTGAGGCGGAGAGCGAGTGACTCGAGTCGACGGGAACGAGATGGAGGAGTCGAAAGTGGCGGTGTGCGACGAGGAAAGGCGGAGGAGGGTGGCGTGGAGCAGAGGAAGAACGAGATTTGCGGCGGAAACGGGATAGAGCGAGAGTCCATATCGCTCGGAAACAGCAACCTCCATTTATTTTATTACATTATCATACCAACTAGGCGCTCGATAAGTGGGGCTTTAAAGCGACGGTTCTCAAATCGTTCCCCGTTTCCTGAACTTTGGAATTTCGCCGCACTACTAAGTCGGATGGCTCCTCCGTCGAAAAAAGATGGATCGAAAGTTAATGGAACTTTTTCTCGGGGGAAACTTTTGGAAACAATGAAGTTATATATTTTTTAATTAATATGTATATCTATGTACTGTATTATAATATAAATAAATATATATTCATATTTAATTTATTTTTTATTCTTTCATTTCTTCCTTATTTATATATTCTTCCTTATTTATTTCCTCTTCGAATTCGAAATATTATTTAGATATTATTTAGACATCTTGTATGATATATTTATTTATTAACTTTAATATTGGTAAGTTTTTACTATACTAAATTATACAATATTTTGCTAATAATATTTGTTTAAATTTCTTCAAGAAATTAGAAAATTGAAATTTAAAGTCAAATTTTAAAAAACAAAATTTTAGTAGAACATAAGATAACGGATACAGTTGATTTTCAGGAAATTCGAAAGGTGCGCTTCAATTGACAGAAAAAAAAAAAACAAAAAGAATTGGATGCGCGTTGAATCGACAAGTAAAGCAGAACGAATTGTTCAGCCGTTAAGTTGGATTAAAAGCAAAGTCAGCGACGTGTTCCTCTTCGGCCCGTCGTCATTTAATGACCATCGATTATCGTGGCGAAATTTAAACGAAGCACGAGCATAATTACGCCATCGTGTTTCGCAGCTTTGTCGTTGGCCGATATGGGTACGATTTAATTGAAAACAAACACTCGACCAACGAATATTTACCATTATCTCACGCTTTTGTTTGACAAATGCCAAACAAATAATTATAATTCCACGTATAATGAAAAGTAGTATACCCGCAGATCGTGATTACAATTCATTCGTTTACATTATGCTGAAATTTTGTTTGATTGGCGCTATTATCGCATAATTCAGCCACAGACCTATACTCTTCATATTTTAATTTTGTAGATACATGGAAATAAACCTTTACAACTTTGTTGCGGATAATCTAGATTATTTGTGTTTGTTAAAATTTTCATTCTTTGATCTACGATTGAAATAAAGAATTTATCATTGTTGAAATAAAATATAATAACAACATAGAAACTCTATCACAATTATTTGCATAAAATGTTTCGTTACAATTATACATTATGTAATGAAGACTTTGTTTATAGATATAACAAAATGAATTCGATAAATACTTCATGAATTTGTTAAAAATATAAATTTATTATCGTCGAGAAGAAATGATATTACTGGTTCATATTTCACGATGGAGGGATTTGCAGAGGAGTGTGGAAAAAAAATCCCTGTGAATTTTTCACCCTGGCCAGCTTGAACTTCAGAATTCGCTGGGTTGGCTGACGTTTAAGAAATCTGATTTTCTTCTCACGTATATCGAAGGATTACCCAAGTATTCGGGACGACCACTTCATTCGAGATATCCACAAACAACGGACGTTTCATCCCTTCGATCTTCTTGTTTTTCCCTTTCTTAACCTCGTCCAAACGGAAACTTATCTCGAAAACGAAATATATAAAGTTAATACTGCATTTCACGATATCACCAAAAAGAAATTCGATTAAACCATTTGAATGTTTGAGATTAAATGATACGTCACTTTTAGAATTTGATTCAATTTTCTTCAAATATTTTTCGTAATTATTCCGTTTAATAAGTCATTTTACTTTGTTAATATTAATATTTTCATTCTTCTAATATAAATTCTCAGAATCATTCATATTTTTTATTTTATCGTAATTATAAATTAGCTAGATTCCTTGCAAATATTGCAAATTATTATTAAACTTTAAGTATTATTTATGCAAATTGAAATTTTTATGAACAGATGAAATGGAATTTCATTCTTTAAATACCATAATATATATTTTGTTTCGAATATCTTCTATTCTTTCACCTATTTTTCTATATTTAATTTTTTCATAAACGCAAATGATAATAAATCCACAGTCTCATCTTGTGTCATCTACATAATTAATCAATGAATTTTAATAATAGCAAATAAAATCGAAAAAAAACGTGTCTTAAATAATTCGAATCAAGTTGTATAATGTCGTTTATTCGATGATTGTTCGAGATAAAATGCAAAAAAGATTTTTAAATGAAAGCTTCGAGGAAATGAAGCTGCATCGGTCAGAGAAGACTGTCGGACCACCTTCAACCCCCTTGTCTCTCTTATTCCTCACTCTCGTCTTCCCTCTCCCGTAAAATCAATAGGTGCGTCGGCGTCCAGCATGCTAGGAATTCTGCTATATAACCCCGAGCGATTAACTAAAATCGATCAAACGCGACGCGTGTCGAATATAATAAAATAAATTGCACGATCCTGGTGAATCAAAAGAAACTATGATCTCTGAATAGATCGATCAATCTAATCGATTGATCATTAAAAGTGGATTAATTATTTTTATAATGTAATTTTTATAATTAATTTTATACATATTATAATTTGTAATTAACTTAATCTCCATGATATATAAATTTATAATATATTGAAATTTTTTAATACTAACATATTATCATTTTCAAGAAAATTAAATTCATTCAAAGAATAAATAATTCATTATATGTATAATTGAAAAATTTTTAGAAATCAATTCTTTCGAAAATAAAACTTTGTTAAGACATTCTCTATAACATATAAAAAAATTATTTAATTTTCATCAACAATCAAGGATTGATTTTATTTGTATGTCTTTTGCAAGAAATTTATTTTAGAGGGTGAAAGGATATGGATTCTGACAACTATTTATCCAATTACTGCCACTTCCAGTCGACTAATATTTGCCTGGCGCGTGTCGACAGTTCGTCAACCGTGAAGCCTGAACGACGCTCCACGATCATCGAATAAGTCCTTTGTCTCTTTTGCGAATTAATTTCAAGGACGAGGACCTTTGTACCCCGCGAGGGTTCTTACTTCGCGTCAGGCAAACCCAATTTGCGCTTAAAC